ATCGACTGTTCTATTCTTCTTACCTCTTGTCGCTACGCCCTATCAGCAGCAATGCAACATTTTCCAATACTCAACGGTTTTCACCCTGGATGCGCCGGATTTAAAATTTGTTTTTGCACCTATTGTGTGTAACGGTTTCTTTTATCACAAATCATTTTCATAGAACGAAATTGGGGCCAAATTTTATTTGCTTGTGCGAGTCAAAGTTAATATCACTATGATATGAGCCATAATTTCACAAACCAACCCAAGCTGTAATTTCATTAATCACTTCATTGTCTGATATCGAAATCTACGTCACTCACATTTCCCCTCTCTCTCTCCGTTTGGCCAAAAACTTTTTTTTACGTTGCTAAACACTTGATCAAATGTGAAATTTTTCGTGCTGTTAGTGACAATGATCATGGAAAAATTCAGAAAGTCTGTTCCGAGCAGATAAAATGTTTGGAGCAAGAAGATGCATCTACGACAAAGCGAGAGCGAATCCGCGAACATGAACTTGCTATTGCGAGAAAGTTTGCTGCTTTTAAACTATTTAAATTACTAGCTACGTGAATGGGACAACCAGCTAGGGACGAAAAGTCTTGAAAAACGTGATGCTATAGAAAAAACTTTTTTTAACTTCTAACTCAGAAGAATTTTTCGGGGAATTTACTCCGGAAAAAACATGCTCGAAAAACTTATTCATTCGTTATCAATTTGACGACAAAAATTTTGTGAGAAACCAGAAAGCAAATAATAATTTGGGAGTGCACCGAAGAGATGGTGCACATATATTGAAATGCGAACGCCAACTGGGAGCATGCATCTGTGCCTGAAGTTTTGTAACATGGGATACCGACACTGGTAGTCCTGACGTTTTATTGTTCTTGATTATGAAACAGGTTTAAATCCAACTCCCTGAAGAATAAATGGTCAATGTTTTGTAAATTTTAACGGAATCAATGTAAATTTTCAGAATGTTAAAATTTTTATTGCTATGCCCGTATTTCTATCGAAATTA